CGTCAGGGAAATGGAAATCAAAACTACAATGAGATATTACCTCACACCTCTCAGTATGGCTAAAATCAACAACACAAGAAACAATGGGTGTTGGTAAGAATGTGAAGAAAGGGGCATTTTCTTGTACTGTTGGTGGGCATGCCAACTGGTAAACATTATGTAAGTTCCTTAAAACGTTAAAAATCCATCTACCCTGTTATCCAACAATTGCACTACTAGGTATTTACCCAAAGAATACAAAGATACTAATTCAAAGGAATGCATGCACCCTGATATTTAGAGCAATATTATCTACAATAGCTAAATTATGGAAAGAGCCTTAATGTCCATCAACTAATGAATGGATAAAGAAGATGTGGTATATGGTATATATGTGGTATATTGTATATGTAATATATATGTATACATATATATCCATATATATAGATTACTCAGTCATGGAAAAGAATGAAATCTTGCCATTTGCAAGGACATGGGTATAACTACAGAGTATTATGTTAAGCAAAATAAGTTAGTCAGAGAAAGATCAATACCATATGATTTTACTCATATGTGGAATTTAAGGAACAAAACAAAAGAGCAAAGGGAAAAAAACTAAGAGGGGGGAAAATCACAAAACAGACTCTTAACTATAAAGAACAAACTGATAGTTAGCAAAGGGGAGAGGGGTGGGTGCTTGGATTAAATAGTTGGTGGGGATGAAGGAGTGCACTTGTGATGAGCACTGGGTATTGTAGAGAAGGGTTGAATCGCTATATTGTACACCTGAAACTGATATTACACCATGTGTTAACTAACTGGAATTTAAATAAAAACTTTAGGGGTGCCTGGGTGGCTCAGTCATTAAGCGTCTGCCTTCGGCTCAGGTCATGATCCCAGGGTCCTGGGATCGAGCCCTGCATCTGGCTCCTCGCTCCGCAGGAAGCCTGCTTCTCCCTCTCCCACTCCCCCTGTTTGTGTTCCCTCTCTCACTGTGTCTCTCTCTGTCAAAAAAATAAATAAATAAAATCTTTAAAAATAAATAAATAAATAAAATTTTTAAAAATTGTTTTGCTTGTCTACTATGCTGCCTTTTTTATTTGAAATATAGTTGATGTCTCTCTCATTTTTAAATGTAATCATTTATAGCTATTAATTTCTCTCATATCACTACTTTCTCTGTATCCCATAAGTTTTGGTATATTGTGTTTTCATTTTCATTTATCACAATATATTTTTCTGATTCTTTTGTGATTTCTTCTTGAACTCATTGATTGAGTGTATTGCTTAACTTCCAGGTTTTTGTTAAATTTCTACTCTTCATTGTCATTGATTTTTAGTTTCATTTCACTATGCTAGTAAAAGTTTGTTTATATGATGTTAAGTTTTGTTCAACTTATTAATACATGTTTTATGACTTAACATTTGGTCTATCCTGGAGAATGTTCCATGAGCACTTGATAAAAAATGTGTATCCTGCTCTTGTTGGTTGGAATGTTCTGTATATACCCATTAGGTCCAACTGGTCTATAACATTTTTCAAATCCTCTATGTACTTATTGATCTTCTGTCTGGTTGTTCTATCCATTGTTAAAAGTGAGGTATTAAAGTCTCTTACTATTATTGAACAGTGTATTTCTCCCCTCAATTCTGTCAATATTTGCTTCATATATTTTTTAACTCTGGCTATTTCACATATATATTCATCAGGAATATTGGCCTATATTTTTCCTTCTTTATGTTCTTATCTGGAATTTGTGTCAGGGTAATGCTGGCCTCAGTAAATGAGTTTGGCAGTGTTCCATCCTTGCTGGAAACCTTGGGGACCTTGGTGTTGGAATAGGTTGAAAGCCTGGGACAGGGTAGTCATTTTGGCACTGAGCTCTTCTAAATCTCTGGGTTTACAGGTGCCCCCAGAGCCTGGGTTGCAAGTATTGATTGGGAGCCTGAAGCCACAGGAGCAGTCCAAGGCAGCAGGAGTTAGCCAGTGCTGAAACGTTCTGGGAACCTCTGGAGCCTGTTAGGAGCCTATTGCCACAGGAGCTGCCCAAGGTCACAGGAGCCAGCTGGTGCTGGGGCAAGCTAGAAGCCTGTGTTTATGGGAGCCTGTCAGGAACCTAGTGCCTGGTGGGCTGGATCCTGGCGCTTCTGAGGCTGCCTGAGATCATGGAAGCCAGCAAACAACAGAGTTAACTGGGGGCCTCAATTCACAGGAGCACTCTAGGAGCCTGGAACTGAGGAAGCTGATGGGAGTGCAGAATCACTTGGATCCACTGGCCACCTGGGACTGCTGGAGCTGGCTGGTTTCCTCATGGGCCAGAAGCTTGAGTTTGCAGGTGCCCTCTGAGAACCTACAGTCCAGGAAGTTACCTAGAATCAAGGAGTTGCCTTGGGCTGCTGAAGCTGAAAGGTACCAGTGTGAGAAGGGGGCTTGGCTTCATGGGAGCCTGCTGGAAGCCTGGTGCTATAGAAACCACATGGGTCCATGGGAGTTACATGGGGCCACTGGTGTCAGTAGGTACCAAGATGATCTGGGGGCCTAGATTTGTGGAGTCTGCTGGGATCCAAGTGCCATAGAGACCACCTGGTGCATCAGGAGCTTCTTGAGTTCACCCGAGCTGGCAGGTGCTGGGGTGAGCTGGGGATCTCAGTTCCTAGAAGCCCACTGGGAGCCTGGGTGTCACAGGAGGTACCAAAGGCCACCAGAACTGTCAGGGACCTGGGTGCAACAGGAGCCCGAGTTACCAAGAGCCTATTGGGAGCCCTGCAGTATAAGCCACCTGGAGTCATGGGAGATACTTGTGGCTGCTGTAGACAGGAACCAGGGTGAGCCAGAGACCTGGACTTGTGGTAGCCTGCTGGAAGCCTTGTCATAGGAACTGCTTTGGGACACTGGAATAAGCAGATGCTGAAGTGATCCTGGGACTCACCAAGAACTTTGTGCCAAGGTCAGCATTTGGGGCCGCCAGAGCCAGTAGGCACTAGGGTGAGATGGGGGCCTGTGTTCCTGGGAGCCCTCAGGGAGCCTGGTGCCAAGGGATCCTCTTGGGGTTGCTGGAATTTGCAAGTAAGGAGGTGAGCAGGACCTTAGTTTGTGGGATCCCACAGCAGTCCTCCTGTGAAAGTTACCTGGGGCTGTGTGAGCTGCCTGAGGCCACCAGAGTAGACAGGCACTGGGGTGAGTTGAGTATATATATATATATATATATATATATATATATATATATATATACACATCATTATAGTCTAAGATACAGATTTTTAATAAATATGACACTGGGATACTAATTTTGAAGATAGTATTGTGCTTTTACCTTTTAACATTTACTCATGTATGAGATTCTCCGTATTTTGCTAGATGTGACCACTTCCCTCATCGTTTATGTTCTGTGCATATGTGTGTGTTAGGATTGTAACAGGAAAGCAAAAAAAAAAATGTCGATATTAAACTTTTAGCATGTAAAATAGGATTTTTCCCTAATCTGTAGCAGGCAACAATCTTGAAAAATGAGTATTGTCAAAAGAGGGGAAAAAAATATAAAAACTTTTTTAAAGTTTCCTTTGACATATAGAAAGCCAGGTTGGTGTAATAGGAGTTCATGTGGTATCTTCCACAGACAAGAGAGAAAATATTCTTTCCATCATTCAGGTTGGGGCTTACTGTATCCAGGAAGAGGAATATGATGTAAAAGAAGTCCATTACAAAGAAGAAAAGTAACTTGAAAAATCTCTCCCTCTACCTTAGATGACTGTGGTAAGAGAAAGAAAACAGAATGACCACAGGTAAGGAAACATATGTTTTATGATCTTTCTTTTCCTGGACTAAGATTTCAGGCTAGAAGTCTTATTAGAGAGCTTAAGAGCAAATCTGAAATCAGAGGAATTTTTGTTCTATTCCCTATTTGGGACTTTAGGCAGAGACCTCCTTTCAGTGTTCCCTCCATATCAAAATGGGTCAGTAACCACATGTGAGTCAAGTTAAAGGATGACAAGCAGAGGAAGGAACCAAGTTTAGTGCCCTAGTCTCCTTAAGCTCCTGTGTGGTATAGGAGGAATTTAGATGTTTCCTGCATGCCCTATGGAAATACAGGTAAAATAGTTGATGGTGTTGTCTAGAAAGTCATCATACAGGCTGAGTGCTGCAGAGTGGGAGATCCTGAGCAAGGTTGTAGTCATTACAGAAAAATCAAAAACTAACATTGTCTTTCCAATATGAGTACAGTGTCTGAATGCATCAGCCTTTCCACTAGTTGAGAGAATATATAAAATAACTCCATTTCTTATCCTTGTTAGCTTGAACCAGCCTCATAGGTCATCTCCACTACAATATAGTAACAAGGGGCTTACCCATATAACTCCTTTTTCCAACTAGGTTTGACTGAGGCAAGCACAGTTATGTTTTATTGCCCTGAGCCTCTGTATTATCTCCATTCTAAATGCTCAGATTTACTTAAACTTTGGCAATCCAGCTAAGCCATAGTGGCCTAAGCACAATTTTCAAATACAGCTGTGCAGCAGTAGCCCTGGGTGATATATGGAGATATATATAGATATAGATATATAGAAAAATATTACTAGTCTATATATATTACTAGTCAATATCTGATTTAAATGAAGCAAGCCCAAATAGACCATCAAGAAGATACTATTCAATCTCTGCTTACCTGATCAGGCATGACTCTGGACACGATCTCCCTATTGGTGCCATCTAGCAGTGACTGGAGCATTGTCAAACTGGGCTGTGATAGGTCTGATAGGTCCTTTGTTCTTTCCTTCCATTGGTCCATCCTCCAATTTAACTTGGAGGCCAGACTGTGCTCTAGGGATAAAAGTTACATAAGACTACTTCTACATGGATTTGAATAAGATGAATTTAACAATTCAATAGAGCTGTGTGTGTATTTATTTTTTACAGCATTTCTATGTCTCCATCTCTACACCCTTAGAACTGAAGATGTCTATAGACCTCTATTTATAATTAAAGACAGTGGCGGTGATAAGAAACAAAGGAGGTAAATTTTATTTTTGTGTTTAAATATTTTAGCTATTGGGACAATAAATATAAAAACTAAATTTAAACTGCACTTAACATAATCTGAAGTCACACTATAACCAAAGCAAATAGATTTTATTTAAATTCATTTTGTCAAAATACAGATATTTTTGTACAACTTATGTTGCTCTTTTTTAAAACTTAAAAGGTAGTAGTACATGTTACAAGCATCTCTCTGGGTTTTATTCGTTGGTTTCACATACTACAATACAAAGCCTTTTAAAAAGAACATTGCATAAATTCTGAAATCACATGTTTACTTGAAAAGTTACTTTCATATAGAAGTTATTTTCAATATTTTCTCTTAAATATTTCTATAATGGGATAAATGGAAGTAGGGATTTAAAGGTAATACTACCCAGCCAGCTATTTTTTTTTTTTAAGTTTTTTGTAGCACATATATCCTTAACATTTTCCTCTGGATGAATATAATATTAACAGAAACATGTATTGGTACATAAAATATAATTATAGAACTAACCATGAATATTGAACAGTTTGGTGCTCCCGTGTGTTAATATTGTAGAACACCTTCTCAATTTTCCTGTTCTTTGAAAATTGTTTTGTTTTTGAAAAATTATTTAACTTAATGATAGTTGTTTACAGAGTTCAAAGAAATGTTTGAGAATACTATTTTCTATACAAGTAAGGCCCTGACACTCTAAAGCTGAGGTCACAGTTTGTATCAATATGATAAATATTTACTATTTTATTACATAGATTGTGTATGAAATTACAATATTTTACTGGTAACAAATTTAGTAAGACAATATGTTAAAAAATACTAAATTTGTATGTGTGCTTTGGAAGATGGTACTGTAAAAGAGTAAGTCTGTGAAAATTTTAATATACTGTGATCAGCATAAAATATGTAAATGAGTTATTTTTTTAGCCCTAACCCAGTAATAGCCTTCCTGTTGGTAAAATAAGGTATTATTTAGCTATTTGGTATATTTTTGAATAAGAGAATGATGTCTTACTGAAAATCAGACTTCATATTTTAAGCTTTAGATGTTTTCTTTTATACTGTATTTCAGAAAATAGAGTACCTTTTGTGTTTTGAAATAGAAAATGTTCTTAACTTCTCATATTCTTTTTTTTTAAAGATTTTATTTATTTATTTGACAGAGAGAGACACAGCGAGAGAGGGAACACAAGCAGGGGGAGTGGGAGAAGGAGAAGCAGGCTTCCCGCTGAGCAGGGAGCCCGATGTGGGGCTCGATCCCAGGACCCTGGGATCATGACCTGAGCCGAAGGCAGACGCTTAACGACTGAGCCACCCAGGCGCCCCTTAACTTCTCATATTCTTAACTTAAAAATTACCAATGCTTTTACAACCTTTCATACCTTGGCCACTATCTGTTTCCCTTAAAAATTTTAGTAATGAGGCTAAACCTAGACTATTGGATTTCCACTTACATTATCAGCTGCAACAACACATACATTTAACACCTATATGTAATTCATGTTTGAAAACTTGCTTTAACTTCAAAATGAGAGAAATTATAACTACATATTAAAATGACACAATAATGTTCCTGTTTGATTACTAATTGAAGGAAAGAACACGTTTCTTCTTCTCTTCTTCCTAATTTCGTGAAATGACCAGTTTCACTCCTATTGATAAAGATAGCTTTATGGCAGCTTCACCACCACAACACATGCACCAGCTCTTCCAATGTTGACAGGAACTTCCTAACAGAGAAAAAAAACAAACAAACAAGGAAAGAAATACTGTCTTAATGAACTTTGTCTTCAGCATAATATATATATATATATATATATATATATATATATATATATATATAATATACCATGTTGGAGTTGAACACGTCCTTAGCTATTCTGGTCCAACCTTCACCTGGTATAAAGATGGAAATTGCAGCCCAAATAACTGTCCAGTGTGGTGGAAAGAATATATTATTTAAATGATGTAAAGCTGAGTCTGAGAAGCAGGTGATTTTGGTTGATAATTTTCTCATTTGAAAAATTACAGCTAATAAAAATTACAGCTAAAATTATTAGCTTGAAATCCTTCAAAGTTTTTGTTAGGGTTAAGTGAGATAATGAATAAAAATAATTTGGCAGATAGTGGTTATAATTCCATTATTTGTTAGTTCTCTTTCACTCTTTCCAAGGTCACACAATGAAACAGTGAAAATCCAGGAATAGAATCTAGGTCCCTTAAGCTACTGGTCTGCAATTTTCAGAAAAGTAAATTCCACAAGCTTAGCAAACATTTTGGTTATTGTATTTGACTTAACAACTCCTTGTTTGCTTTTTTTTTTTTTCTTCCATTCCTAGCTGGTTCTAAACACTGATAAAATAAGGAGCTACCTGCATGGCAGAATTTGAGTGTTTCTGAGGGTCTTAACAAATCAAATTGTTGGAGGAGATAGAAAGCCATTGTCAGCTGTCATTATATTAATACATATTTCTTTAGAACAGTAACTAGCTTACTGTGTAGAATATAGAACAGCATGAAGTCAATATAAGGGAAGGTGAAGTTTGATACAAAATAAAAATGTTTGCCTGTTTGTGGAAATGATGAGTTAATCATACTTTATTATTTTTTTATTAAGCTGCCATTTAATTAACAGAACACCATTAGATATCTTTTTAATAAATCCAGTATTATCACTAGAAAAAAATGTCAAAAGCATCAAGTTTGCTTTTAGCATCCCCAAGATGTCCTTCTTGTACTCTCCTTAGAATTTCTTCTGTTAGATACCCAGCATTCTTGAGAGGGTTTAATCCAGTCTCTCATTGTTCACTAAATTCCTTGAATGACTGATTAAGAATTAAGAGTGTTGTAGTTTATACAATCTCTATAAAAGGGGACTGAAAAAAATTTCCCCTGGTCAACAACCAATAAGAAGACGCAGATATTTGTTGATGAGGACATTGCACTTTGGTTCTCAAGTCATAATACATACTTAGAAAGTTGGCCAGAGTAAGGCTTTCAAATTATTGAATTGGATTCACTTGAGTAAAGCTTTTGAATTATCAAATTGGATTCACTTTTCTATGAAAGGAATGAGTCCATAAAGCCAAGAGAATGCTCTGTTCTCTTTCATATAAGTACTGATGGATCCTGCCAATGATAAAGTAGATCAACTGTACTCAATAGTATAGGTAAAGCAATTACTGCAAATTTCACTAAGAGATTCTGGGTAGGCCCTAATTCCAAACATATATTGTAAAGATTTTTATTAAAACCTGAAATGTACTAATTTCAATACTTTCAATGACAGTACCTCTTTCCATTCATCTTTCTGTGCGTCATATGACTCAACAGTGTTCAAATAAGTATGCCCATCATATCCTCCAACCACATACAGTTTGTCTCCAAGGGGACATACAGCAACAGCATCTCGAGGAACACTCAGAGGTGCTACAGTTGACCATGAATCATTTTTTGGATCATACCTTAAGAGTTTAGGAAGACAATTAAAAGATGAAGTCTGATAATGTTAAAAATAATAGACATTTATAAAATGTATACTTATCCAATATAAGGAATCAAAAACACCTTATAAATAGCAAGTTTAGTCTAATAAATGTTAAAAATAAGTACATGAAAAATTCTTTTCAACCATAAGACATCACTCAAAGCATATCAAAAATGTATTTCCTTTCCAAAGTACTATGCATCCTTTGATTAGTACTTAGATTCTCTATAAGGAAATTTCACATATTAGCATCTTATCTTTATGAAAAAAAATGTCCCCTCTCTCTTTTAGTATGCTGGTTGGAGAGCTTTTGTTTTTCACTTATTCTTTGTTTATCAAAAGTTTTTTGTGAGATGCCTTATCTTGTTCATGTGAGAGCCCACATTTCAAGTAAATCTGAATATAATCGCCTTCTTGTTTTGTAGAATGTAGTACCCTGGTTTTAGTATTATTTGTAGTTAGAATGACCATAGTTTTATCCTATCATTTTCCCCATGAGTGTTCCAATTTATCTTCACAGGAGGAATTTTTCCCATTTTAATCTGAAGTTAACTCTTTATCCCTAAACCTTTTCTGTAAGCTAAATGAAAGAGAACTCAGTAAGTAATAAAACCTTCTCCAGGAATTCTTTCCTAAAATTTGAAGCCTTTTAAAAAAAAAGCATAATACTAAAATCTGAAAGGGGTGGACAATAAAAGAAAACTTACATAATTATACATGAAAATATTCTCTGCTTTTATATTGGCCTATTTGTAAAACCCAGTGAAAAAAGTTTATTCTACAGAATAAATTTTTATTTATTACCTTCTACTAATGTTCTTAAATTTCTATTACCTCTTTTATTTCTGTTTTCATCTCTTAAGATATATTCTAAATTATCTGATCTTGGCTTCCATTTGAACTTGACCTCACATCCAGTAATATTTTTAATAATATCTGAAATCAGCAAGAACTAAAATAACCTCAGTGTTCCATACATATTGTTGATTGTCATGTAGCATATCATCTTCAATTCTGCTGTTGTAATAAAACCCAGAACCAGAAAACCCATAACTGTATGCTTTAGCTAAGCTAAATGTTCAACAATAATTTGCTATTATTAATTGGTGCTGCCCTCAACTAACTGACTACATACATAAATGAATGGTGAACCAGGGCTCACAGAAGGATTTCCTTACAAATCTGCATCTAAACTTGACTTTCCTGTATGTGCATGATAATTAATGCTCAAAGATCTGTCTAATGTTAATATTATCTCATTATTGTTTGATTAACAAGAGATATTTGGGTAACATTGAATCTTTTGAAGAAAAACATTGTCAATAACGTTACTATCTGTAAAGACACACAGGAGAAGTTATTAAAGAAAAAGTTAGCACTTATTTGTGGAACATAAGGAATAACATGGAGGGCATTAGGAGAAGGAAGGGAAGAATGAAGGAGGGGGGAATCAGAAGGGGAGATGAACCATGAGAGTATGGACTCTGAGAAACAAACTGAGGTTTTTAAAGGGGTGGGGGACTGGGTTAGCCTGGTGATGGATATTAAGGAAGACACATACTGAATGGAACACTGGGTGTTATATGAAAATGATGAATCATGGAACACTACATCAAAAACTAATGATGTACTGTATGGTGACTAATGTAACAAAATAAAATAAAATTTAAAAAAAGTTAGCTACTATATCACTTTCAAATTAAAATAACATCATGCCTCTCCCTTTTTGTTTTTGTTTTCTGTCTCTCCTTACTTTGAATACAGTATATATATTCTAGTAGAAACAAAGTGGAGTCTGAAGTAAAGAGAATTAGCTATGGACTTATTCCTACACTTAGAGAAATTAGAAATAATCTGCTTGACTACTTTGCCTCAATTTTCTCATCAACATTATAGAAATAGTAATCCCTGAATCAACCAACTTGTTTATGTGATGATTTTAGAAACATTTAAATTATTACCTTAAATAATTGAATGAGATTCTTTTTTTTAAAGATTTTTATTTATTTATTTATTTGAGAGAGAGAATGAGAGAGAGAGAGCAGGAGAGGGGGGAGGGTCAGAGGGAGAAGCAGACTCCCTGCAGAGCAGGGAGCCCAATGCGGGACTTGATCCTGGGACTCCAGGATCATGACCTGAGCCGAAGGCAGTTGCTTAACCAACTGAGCCACCCAGGCACCCTTGAATGAGATTCTTAAGGTACTGAGTAGGCCAACACTGTTTTAGTTGTAGAAAACAGTCAGAAAAATTGTCTCAGACATAAAAATGAGGATTATCTGATTCCATAGAATGTGAACTTTTGATTGGCTTTCTACCAATAGAACTATTTTACAACTCTGTAGGTGGTGTTGTAGAAAACTGTTTTCTTGTACAAATGAATTTTACCTAATGGAGATAGAATTAATTTCCACCATGTAGAAATGGCCACCAAAGATTAAATTTTACTCTCCTTAGGATATTAACTACTTTTGCACCTATTAACATTTTTTTTCAGTATTCCTAATTGTCTATATGTCTTTTCTTCAAAGACTCTTTTGCACCAGTTTTAACATCTTATGGGTTACCTCATTAATTAATGAATCATAAAATCCTTGACCCATGTTAATTTTATATTTGTATGAAAGTCATAATTGTAATATTTTGAAAATTATATTTTAACATTAACCATTTTCTCAAGGTCTTTTCAAAGAAAATGCCAATAACGGGATAATAATAGTAATAACAATACTGGTCATTACAAAAATAATACAAACAAAAACAACCATCAACTAACTTCTACTGAGTACTTAACAGGTGCAAGACAATGTACTAAGTTCAATATCATTTATTATATTGTACTCTATGGGATTGACACTGTAATTATTCCTTTTTTTTTTTCACATGAGGAAACTGATGTTTGTGGATGTAAAATAACTGGGTCAAGGTCACCTAACATATAAATAGTGAAACTGGGATTTGAACGCAGATTTGTGTGTCTCCAAACCAAATACTTTTAACTAGTATGCTATATATTTTTTAGTACATGTGAAGTGCTCTTTTTTCCATTAATTTTTTTCGAGATTTTATTTATTTATTTGAGAGAGAGCACAAGTGGTGTGAGGGGCAGGGGGAGAAGCAGGTTCTCTGCTGAGCAGGGAGCCTGATGTGGGACTCTACCCCAGGACTCTGGGATCATCACCTGAGCTGAAGGCAGATGTTCAATTGACTGAGGCACCCAGGTGCCTCTCCATTAAATTTTTTAATTGTATCTGAATATTTTTTAAAATCGGTATATTTGGAAATGTAATTATGTCAGTAAATAAGGTTAAACATTTAATTATTAGGATGTTTGTATATATTTAATTTTGTAGTCTGCACTATGAACTTTATCAAAAAATATGAACTGAGTTTATGTTTTTCTAGTTCTGTGTGTAAATGTCTATTTAAATTAGTATCAACACTTTAAGAAATTGTTAGGTTAATTTTATAGTGAACAGTCTGTTGTCCTAAAATAGAGCCCAACTCCTTTCTCTTGCAGGTATTAACATACAATTCCACAATGTCAGGGGTTCATAAAGTAAAGCCAGGGAAATGCTGGCATAGTAAGCGGTTATAAGGTGGTTATTTAAGTAAAATATTTTGGGGCACCTGGGTGGCTCAGTTGGTTAAGCGACTGCCTTTGGCTCAGGTCATGATCCTGGAGTCCCTGGATTGAGTCCCGCATCGGGCTCCCTGCTCGGCAGGGAGTCTGCTTCTCCCTCTGACCCTCTCCCCTCTCATGTACTCGCTCTCTCCCATTCTCTCTCTCTCAAATAAATAAATCTTTAATTAAAATATTTTGTGTATTCTAGATTTTTTTTCTTATGAAATGTGTCCTTTTCCTTACCAAACTTAGTTTTGTAGACCTATACATTTAGGTACAAGGAACCAAGCAAATGCAACACAAGTTATACCATTAAGATCTAACAAAAAGCCTTCAAAGCTGTAGTCAAACAAAGCATGGATTCTAACATCCATAACAAAAATCTCTTACTAACTTGGATTTATTACAAGAAAATTGCTGTCATAAGGGCTTAAGACCTTTTATCTGTCTATATATTTACATGATTTAATTTTTAATTAAGATGAAATTTTTGTGAAGTCAGGTTCAGTTTTCATAGTAACAAACTTTTATGACCTTTTATTTACTAGATATAATCATATAACTGAGATATCACACAGTCAGAAGTGACACAGCTCTGATCTCGGGCTAGTAAAATCCATGGGAAGTAGTAGTACACATGTCTTGTGAAAGATATAGGGATATTACTGATATATATATAGAACTGGAGCAAGAGATTACTGATTGAAGATTGTACTAGAAGAACTAAGGCCTAAGAAGCATCACGGCTGAGACTCTTAAACAAAATAAGACATTTATTTTTTAGTATTTATTTATCTATTTGAGAGAGAGAGAGAAAGGAGGCACAGAGGGAGATAGAGAGAATCTCAACCGACTTCCTGCTGAGTGTGGATCCTGATGCAGGGCTTGATCTCACAATCCTAAGATCTATACCTGAGCAGAAATCAAGAGTCAGATGCTTAACCAACTGAGCCACCCAGGTGCCCCAATAAAGAATCAAAACGTACACAGGCACACACTCATAAAATGGCCCAGGAAACACACACCTAAGAAAGGTCTGAAAAGGCCTCAAGTCTTCATGCTGGCTTGACCCCGGTCACAGAACATAACCTGCCTATTAGTGAGGTTTCCCTATGAATGGAGCCAATCTTCAGAGACTGGGAAAGGTATCTGTTATTTCAAATGCCCAGTTTTCCACAAAAGATCACAAAGAATACAAATAAACAGGAAAGTGAGTTTCATTCAAAAACAAAACAAAACAAAACAACAACAAAGAAATCTCCAGAAAACATCCCTGCAGAAACACAGGCTTCTGATTTACAAGATAAAGCCATTAAGACGACTGTCTTAATGAAGCTAAAAGAAAAACAGACTAA